TTCATATATATATATATATATATATCTTACTCATACTGTACTAAGTTACAAATAGATCAACCACCAACCCCCTTTCTTTATGTTCTAACTACTTGAATAGTATATACAAACAGGTATATACATATACTCGAGTACAAGCACCATTATAAAACTCGCAAACCCAAATTTCAAGGAACCCCTCCCTCCCTTTCTTGTAAAGTTGTCATATATAAATCAGAAACTGGCATCAGGAATCGCATCAAGAATAATGCAGGAAAAGAGAAAGGGTCAGGCCAATAACTATTCATTCAATTACTCGAGTACAATCAATTCCTTCCCACACCATCACTGATATCACCGTGACATCGTATACCCTTCGCCTCCCTTCAAGCGAACATATCTCCCTACTCAAACCTCAAACCTCAAGCATTAAGAGTCCACCCCGCCCCCCTTTCAAGTTTCTACTAACCCACCCCATCCGGTCCAATGGAGAATAACATGATATTATATAAAGTTCATATCACATCACATCACACACATCTGATCCCAGATTATAAACCCTAGATCATAAAACCCCAGCATACATACATACATACATACCCTAACTACCCTACCCTACCCTGCCCTCTCCTACCCAGTAATAAACATAAACATAAACATAAACATAAACATAAACATAAACATAAACATAAACATAAACACAAAAACAAAAACAAAAACACCACCAAAGAAAAGAGTTCCTACTATCTCCATCTCTCCCTACTCTCCCAATCATCATATCATCACATCATCACATCACATCACATCACGAACCAATCTACCACAATCCCATCCCAATAATATAATTCCAATCCAGGCCATCCCATCCCATCATATCCCCATAACCCCCATCATTCCCCTCCCCCCCTACAAATCCCTCTCCAATCTACACCGTCTCCATCCTCACCTACTAAACACATTATATATACCACATCGAAACACACCACACCACATCATCATCATCATCATCATCATCATCACATAAAACGACTATACAATTATATATATATTTTTTTTAAAAAACGAAGCAAGTATTATCATCAAATCAACACCATCATCAGCATCAAACCACAATCCATAATCCAATCCATAATCCAATCCATAAACCACAGTCCATAATCCAATCCACAATCCACAATCCAAACCACAATCCATAAACCACAACCCATAAACCATAATCTACAACCCAATCCACAAACCATAAACCAACCAATCCTCAAACAAAAACAGAACAGAACAGAACAGAACAGAACAGAACAGAAAGATGGGTATATTATACTATTGATCAAATCAAATCAAATCAAATCAAGTCTAACGAGTGACAACGCATATATACATAGATATAGATCGAATATAAATCAAATATAAACAGCTTTATATATTATATAGAAAAAGTCAATACAATACAACATCACACAATACCATACCACACCATAAGTAACAAAATCAAAAGAAGAAAACTATTTCATTTGAAAAAGGAAGAGATGAGTTACAAGAAGAAGAAAAAGTAGAGTTTTGTTGGTTTTGATCTCTTGCAAGTTGAAGTTTAAATGGAAGCTGGCCTCTGTACTGTACTTCATAAATTTGGGAATCAAAAAGAAACATAAAAGAGAAATGAATGTCCCGTGTAATCACACCTTCTCAAGAGAAACCGTCCATGTGCAGTAATTCCCAATCCCATCATGTTTTTTATCTGAAACCTTTCCCTCATCTCAAATGTGTCATAGTTTCATCTTATCCATCCCACCACATACATGGTATCCCTTTCCTCCCAATGAATTCCTTCATTCCTTCCATCCCACCAATGTAAAAGCCACCCGAGCGATCCGAAAAGAAAATCTGAGAGAAAACTCCTGCCAGCCCTGAGCCTAGGCACATCCTCACAATGTGACATGACAACCCGTTCATATCCAAAAGTGACCCATACTTTAAAAAACCAGACCCCCCAAAATCGCTAATGAAGTGTGATGAAGAACACAATAGCAGGTCAAGAAACAATCGCTGTCGTGATATCATAAATAAACAATTGGAGCTGTAGAATGATAGATGTCATGAAAGAGTTTAAATCTCATATTTATCCATCATCTTCTGCATCATCCTCATCCTCATCGTCTTCAGCACTGCTCCTAACCGCGGCTACCAATTTGGCTTTCTTGCTAGGAGTATGATTGTCGGAGTCGGCCTTTCGCTTAGTACCCGAACCAGTACCCACACTAGAGATGCCCTTAACCGGGGTTACTAATGGTTTGTCGTTCTCATCTCCACCATCACCTTTTGTTCTCTCAATTTCTGCAACTTCATCTGCTGTTAAGAATCGGCCACCAGGACCTCTAGGTCTTCGCATCGCATGATTGTGTCTACTCTCATGCAAATATGGCTTCCTACCTTTCGAAGTCAATCGGAGTGCCTCCTCTAATTTTTGTCTCGCAACACGTCGCTTCAAGATACGATGAAATTGCTTTGCATTGACATACAGAGGCGACTCCTCAACAGCTCCCGATACAAGTTCTGGAGATTGAGGGTGCAGTGGGGCTGCCGACATAGAGGGTCCTGAAACCGATGGCCGAGGCGCATGGTTCATCAGAGGTTGCGCATTGGGAACAGCGGGACTACCAACTTGTTGTGTACTCATACGTCGATTCTGAGCAATTTGATTGTTGATACTAGCTTGTGTGGGTGACCGAGGTACTCTCTCCTTCTTCACGTTTATACCAGAACCAATTCTTGGCGAGGTCTGCGGCAAACTTGAGTCGGGCATGTTATACGGATAGTTACCAGCTGCGGCATTGGTTGCTGCCATTGCTGCTGCTGCCTGGGGAGTGATGGGATTGCCGCCATATTGCAGACTCATCTGCGGTACTGCGTATGATGGTTGGTATCCCATCTGGTGCTGCATATGTCCCGCATTGGGTCCTGCTTGTTGCGGTTGCGAAGAAAGAATTGGAGATTGCTGGACAACATGCTGTGAATGGACAGGTGGTTGTTGTTGTTGTTGTTGTTGTTGAGATGGTGAAGTAATTGGGGCTCCAGGATTTGGATGTTGACCAGAGTTTGGATATCCACCTTGAATATGCGCCTGTGTATGGTTATGCTGGCCTTGCGGCGGCTGTTGATAATGCGCGTACTCCATCATTTGTACAATTTTGGTCCCGTAAGAAATTCTGTGAAGAAGTGGAGATCTCAATCGTCTAGATCGCGATTGTGTGAAGCTTGCGACGCGTTGAGGAAATCAGGGACAGTTCTTGATAGGCGTAGAAGCGACAAGAAATATGCTATCGAGTTCACCGAGTACGTGATGAATTGGAGTTAGGTATTATGCTGAAAATCCAAAGATTCGATGACTCGAAATAACGCGTTGGCAGCGCTGTCGCAAAGGTCCCAGGTGGCCGTCACCGAGCTAGTGCCTAAGCCTGCTCGTTAACCGTCGACTTGGTATGCGTGGATGTGCTGGCAGGCAATATGGTAGGTGTACACTGCAATTGACCGCAGCACAGCATATGCAGGCTGATGTAAATGAAAGGCGCTCAAGTGAGGCTTACGGGGGATTAGGCTCGAAAGTTGGTCACCCCACGTGAAAGTTATCGGGATCGGGTTGAAGTTATTCAAAGGTAGATGTTGAACAATTTTTGGTGATATCTAGCTGTTTCGCGAGCCACTCAAGAGTAACAAAGCTTTCTCCAGTCAATATTGACTCTTCTATTATTCACTATCCAACCAGACAAGTTAGTTATGATGAATGGTCAAAAAGTTGAATCAAGCTTCGGAATGATTGGAATGATTGGGAGGGGAAGGTTTGGGACCCGATGTTATTATTTTTTTACCTTTGACCAGTGATGCGCTGGCAATGCATGGGGGTCATGTAAAAAACTTAGCTTACCTTATTCAATGAGCTTTCTTGCTGTACCAATGAGAATTGAATATATTATTCAATTGAGATGGCGATCTAATCCCAAAATAAGTAAAGCACAAACTGGTGGTTTGTGTTGCGTGTTGATGATGTACTTACACTGTAGTGCAAATGAGGGTATGTATAAATAAAACAAATGCAAAGTCGAAGCTTTTCTTCCTTGCGATACAGGAGGAGCTTTGACGACGTGGAGTAGTGGGAGCAATGGGTAGTAGTGCGGCTGTGGGCTTGAGGTTTGAGGGGTACCGTATCCTATGGGCTGGTCGGGTTGGTTGTATGGAACTGGAACTTGGAGTGTCGTAGTGCAGACTTGTGCAGTCCGTGTAAATGTATAAATAATCCGAGGAGTGAATATTGGATTTAGTAATACTTGGATTGTGGTAGATCGGGTATTACCAGATAATGTAACTTTGTAACTCTTTGAATTGGCTATGATTGTTAGTTAGTTATTCTGTGAGTTTTCTAGTTTCCTATATAAAGTAAAGGTAGTTCCCTCTTTGACGTTGCTTTGCTTTGATTTGAATGAATGAATGGATGGATGAATGAATGATCAAGTGAGTGAGTGTATAGCACTGTACACTGCACTGTGATGTGTAAATACAACAACAACAACCACAATGAATGACAATAACGAATACAACATCATTCAAAAACAAAGCCGAGGATAGCAGCTTCAGTGGTGGATATGATATTTGAGATATCAGATCTCATGCTTGGACTGGGGAGGGACAAAGATCACGGAACTCACCTTCCAAATGCGTGACTTGAAAATCAAATCAATGGCAAAGTTGTGTTTAATCCTTCCCGCAGATAGAATTAATCACGGGATTGATTGCGATAGCCAATTAATTTAGCTTTTTGAGGTCCTTTTTGGTGTTGTTGATAGGGCTATGGCGATGATATTGCTGGTGGATGAAGACGTTGAATGATTGGCAGTGTTCTGCTCGGCTTGTCAACAACCAAAGTCCCACGATGCGATGCAAGGTACCTGAATCGCTTTTCTCTTTGGTCAGCTGTCAGTAGACGCTATATGTTGTGTTTATTTTAGATCTTCGGAATTGTGCAAAATACGAAAGGAACTGATTCAATCATTCGTTATAGGAAGTTACTCGAGTAAGGTTTTGATTGGTATTCTTTGAAAATGGGGTCGTTGGCTTGTGTTTTGCCTTGGGAAATTGTTTGATTCGTTGTTGATGTTAAAGGAAGGGGGAGATGAAAGGTTTTGATTGGGGATCTGGGAAAAATTAGATCTTGGGTGGATAAAGCTATGGTATGAAGCTATATTAGAATAGGTAAGGCGTATTTATAACTTTCTTCTCAGGATACTAGTAGTAGTAGGTAGGTTTTAGTTATTATTATTATTATTATTATTATTATTTATAAATTGTATTGTTTCGGGTCAATATGATTTTATAATCTACTAAATAGATTATAGATCTTAATCTTTCGAGTATCTCATTGGCTAAAATTATCAAGGTAAGAAAGAGGTGGGGACTGATAATCAAATGTACTAAGTAGGACTTGTTAAAGTATAAGGAAACTAATGACCCATGCCGCCAGAAAGTCCGCAACTCGGGTAAGCTAGCATATGCCATAAAGTGGTAAAATATAGCCTAGTTTTTAACTTCCCAACAGCATGAGGAGAGAATCTGGGAGAGGGGAAAGGAATAACAAATAAAGCTAGAGAAACTCAAAGAGAAAGGGTAGAAGAATCAAAAGACATCTGAAATCTGGAGCTGAACTAAGCTGCACTAACATAGTATAGTTTAGATCCCAACTTCTGACTAAACTACTATGTACGGCTCGGCTTTATAGTCCCTAGTAGTCAAAGATTTACTCCCACTTAGTTATATCACTTGGAGTACCTTACAGAAATGGATTAGGGGATCTGTCATAGACTCATAGACACCTAGGTTTCTAGGCTTAATTCGAATTTTAGGTATATATTTTCCCATGATGACATTCATTGGTTCAAAACTCACTTCACTAATTAAGTTCACTTAGAAGTTAGATCCATCCAAATGAAAATCAATTCAGTTTTAGAATGTTCTATTTCTCTAATTCCTTGTTTGATTTGATGAATCGTAAGATGACGAATTAGAATCATTTAAAGGTCCGAGTCGATGTACTGTAGTACACTGTATCACTATAGTAGAAACATAGAAGGGTGTTGAAGAATAAGAAGAAGAAGAACCGATATCTTACAACCTTCAATCGGTCTGAGAATTCAGTGGTTCAGAATATAGATAACCATGAGGCTTAAGCCCTTGTCGAGATCAAAATGGTGTTAATTCCTGTGAGAGGGTTAAAAGGGTTGGGTATCAAGAAACCAAAAGTGTGGTAAGAAAGAAATTGAGATGCGTAATGTACAGTACAGACCTGAAGATAAGATTCTCATCATCAATAACAATGATGCATCCCTAAAGCCTGGAAGGTCTCAAAGGTCGTTTCCGAGTCTTCCGTAGAAAGAAATCAAAAGGTCCAGACCAAATATCAATCAATCAAAAAATTCCATTTCATACTATTTTATTACTGGTGAAGATTCGCATCCAACATTTCCTCTTTAAGCCTTTTTATTATTATTAATAATTCTTAATTATTCCTCTCCAATCATTCTTCCTGGTTCTTTTTCATCTGCACGTGTGCAAGAAACTCCTCCTTCTTGTTTCGGAAGTTGTGACCCGCTTGTTTTTTTGCTTAGATCATGAAGTGAGTGGGAAGGCCGGCCAACTTTCTTATCGCATCACCCACCATCGTTTATCAATCACAAATATCAATAGTACCCACCTTACCTACTCACCACTGCACCAAGTTTCTCCGCTGTCATTGACATCTGTGTGTGGCATTATGGCCAGCCAGCCATGCCTCACCTAGTAGGTATAATTGATAGTTTGGTTGAAGGAAATGAAAGCTAACGTTACATGATGCCTAACGTCTTTGCAGAAGTTCTTGTCCCGTCCCCCTTCTTCGCTTACCATATTTATTCGAGTACCTAGGTAGTCAAACATGCTTCACAGTTGCTCATCTAGGTATCTACCAAATATCTACCAATATCATCTTTATATTGATACTACCCTACTACAACACCATGTACTACACTCTTCATCTTTCATTGAGATCATTTCCGAAAGGGTTCCGTTGACGATTTTGATCTTCCTATTCTTTCTACATTCATCTACTTGTATTATTATTATTGTTTTTATTGAAATTGGTGTTACAACGTTTCTTTGCTGCCCAGGTGGTGGGGGGGGGATTTCCTCGGAGAAAGACCGAATCTCAAATCCCACTCCTCTCGTACAGTAACGGCACGGGAAGTGTACACTGTACAGTACATATTTTTATTTCCCTTATTAAATCTACTAGCGTTTCCATGCAATGTCTCCCCTGTTATTTCCACGCTTCTGCCGGTACTAGTCTCCCCTCATCACCGCATCATGTCGTGTCAAGTGTCTCAGCGTTCAAGTACGCTACATGCAAGTTGACCACCCGCCACTCGTTCGCAGAATAATGTACGCTTTGAAAACGTACTATCTATTTCATACTTTCGATATCATCTTGAAATGGGTAGTGTTGATCCATTTCTAATGATCTTCGGTGGAACCGAGAGCCAATCATCGTTCAATATGACACTTCTTTCTTCCCATTCGGCGGCTGAAGTAAGAAATTCTGATATGATAATACGCGCTGTTACTAGGTCTCATGATTCATACAAAAGGTTATTGGGTCTGTTCCGGGTACCTGGCGCTTAATTGCTAATTTGATCTGCGCTTTCTATCACGTCCAAAAATTTGATAAAGAACGGGAGTTGATATCACTATCTTTAAGATTGCGGAGGAAGACCCAGACCCATTCCCTTTACCTCATTTACTCCCTAGCACTAAATATCAAAAGAAGCTTGAGTTCTTCTGGTACCTTTGCCGATTTAACATTGAACCCAATCCCTTAATATTGCAGACTAGTACTACTAATATATATCAATTCAAGACCACCTCTTGTAGATCGAAGTCGATATCAAAATGAAGTAGCCTCAAGACACGAGATCACCTTGTAAGACTTTCAAAAGCACGCTGACAAAGTTGTCACAATTGTTCCGATTGGGGGACAAGTTAGATTACACGTGTTGAGAACCTCTTCAAACTCCACGGGCAATAAATTTGCATCACAGATTCACAGCAGTGGTCCTGTCAATGTTGCTGTAGACAAGCAAGTATCGAAGCGAGACCATATCTAATCATCAAATGATATTTAAACTGAATGAGGCTACACGGTGGTAACCTTATGTATCTATCTCTGGAGAAATTTGATCATCTCCCAGACTCCCAGTAGGGAACTTGGTTCGGAAATCAACTATGTAAAATTTCACACACGAGCTTGTTTCTCAGTTCTACACAGACTCATGGTTTTGGAAATGTTATCTCTTGAGTAAGAGTAGGCGATACAATAATGGATGGATGGATGAATGGATGCATCGTCAATGCAATACGGTATATACTGAAAAGCTTTACTATGTAACTATGGTTATATATTCAAGTATCTATCTATCTATCTATCTGTTCTTTGTAATTTTATTCAGTCGATTACATTACGGCAAAACATACACTTTACTTTCCATTCTCTCTTTGCTCTCTTCGCTGTCTTCGCTGTCCTCGCAACTTTTCCCTACCTCCTTCTCTCGCTTTGCTTACTTCCTTTCAGGAACTCACTGTTCTCTTCACTTTCACCCCTCTCCCATCCTCACCTCACCTCACCTCACCCCACCACCAATCTCAAACCTCCTCCCAAATATCACTGCATACATAGACCTAGACCTAGACCTCCAAATCAACTGCATCGTTCCGAGTCTTTTCTCTTATTTATTTTTTCTTTTCAACCACATTCGAAAGGTATCTTGGAAAAAAGAAAAGAATGAATGAAAGCGATGAGTGTCATATCGATTGATGAATACCATGTATACACGCATGAATGTATGGATACTCGAGAATGAATGAGAATTAATGATCTTTCTTCAGATGGGACTTTGGATATATAGATAATGATTACTTGAATACTCGAGTACATGGATGATGGAGCGGATAAAACATAATATAAAAGTGGTCTATATATTATAATTTATAGGTGCTACAGTAATACTCGAGTAATAAGGTGGAATATTGTAGATGAGTTTATACCCGTATCGTATTCATTTGAGGGAAAGATGAATAAAGTAGGGATGTAATGAGTTGAGTATGGGATATGATGAGATAGGTTACTCGGTATTGGTATATGTATATATGTACCTAACCAAACTCACTTCTCACTTTTTTCTTTTCTTTTCTCGTTTCTCTCCTTTTTCCTTTCTCTTTCCTACTCAGTAATTACTCCCTCGTTGGTATCTATCTTGAAGACTATTTTTTAAAGATGCGAGAGTTTGAGGATTTGGGTGATGGATTCATGAATAGATGAGTGAGTGAATGAGTAATTAAAGACAACATCAAAGAATCAAAGATAGATAATTAACTTCTTCGGGTCTGAAGTTGTACCAGTATATCTTTCTTCTAATTTGCTAGTATAGTTAGTATCGATCTATCTAGATCTAGATCTAGGTCTAGATATTAGATTTTGATACGAGTACATGTTATTTTTAACATTTTATTTATAAAATTACGCGTTCGTTAGTATATGTGTTTGTACGAGTAGTAAAACTTACCTATACCTATACCTATTGGGCAGTATTATACTCGACTCTCGAGTGCATACTCTACTGTATATAGATTACAAACGATTTTGGAGTGGAGTGATTTATGAATTTCAAATTTTCAATATCGTATTGTGAGGGGGAGGGGGAGGTTTAGAGAGTAGAGTTGAGAGTTGAGAATTAGAGTGTTAGAGTGTTAGATAGGAGACTGAGACTGATTAGTCGAGATTGGATTTACTAATTATAGTTCAGTCGAGTCGAGTCAAGTCAAGTCAGTATAAGGTTATACAGTAGGGAGAATCAGGGGATAGGATTGAGAATGGGAATGAGAATTGGAATTGGAAAATTCAAGTGTAGAGATTGAGAATCATGAATCATGGATTATGATCGAGTGTTGATTGGTCTTTGTGTTTGTGTTTGTATATAGGGGCTTGAATCGATAGGAATTGAGTTTGAATTATAGATTATGATTTATAAATTAGATTCTGTTTAGTTTTTTGTATTTTATGTTGAAAGTTATAATGCACCTAGGGAACAGTTTGTTGTGGCTCTTGAATCTCTTGATATTTTGTTGTAGAGTTGACGGATTGAAGAGGAGAGGAGAGCTCTAGGAATAAGCAACCATGCTTAGTCAGCCAGATTCACTGCTGTACTGACGACTTTCAACATTTTATATAAATCAGTCAGGTTTGTGTATTATAATAATACTTATATAATTTATACTCGTATACTCGTATATAATATAATCTTGTATTAATTACTCTTCTCTAATATGATACTATAACTCTTTTTATTTCATATTATATTATATTGTATCATATCATTTCGTCACATCACATCTCCCATGATTCGCATCTACTATTATACAATTTACACTAGTATCTATTTCTAGCTTGTGAGATATAACTTTTATAGCTATAAATATACACGTAATAGCCAACTCACTAGCACTCCGTCACTCTAACACTCTGCTATTCACCGTCTTTCCCCCTAGCTTAGATCACTATATTCCTTTCTCTTTCTCTTCCTATAATAACTACCAAGTACTCAATATACAATAAAATGTTAGAATTTGATGCCAGTGGCATGCTACAGAGGCAGTAATACAATATACCGTGACCATACCATACTATATATAAGGAAGAGGAAGAGGAAGAGAAAGAGAAAGAGATTAGGAATACAGAGTCCAAGGGAACAATAATTAAGTAGAAAAATGAGGAAAGAAAGGGAAAAAATAAACAGGAAAAAGAATCCCCATATATCCCAACTATTATAATTCAAATTGGATAATATATTATATAGAGAGGCCTACATGGTTTAGTGCGAGTACGTATTATATAGGATATATCACATATAGAAAAATGAGATCCTTGTGAGTTATGGTATATAGAATAGATAATGTTTATTCATTCTTGAATTCCTATCTGATATAGTAGTAAATCGTAAATCTTCAATATATCATCTATGCCATGCATGATGTTGATGTTACAATACTAATCCTCTAAATACATACACAATTTTATCAATAAATCTATCTATACAAAGTAAGTATCATACTACTGAGTATATCATAACAAATCAAATCAAATCACTTTCCCAGCCACGAATAGCCATATTCAAACGATACTTTTACCATCTCAAAACCATAGATATAACAAGTATTCAGAACATTCATCACATGCGTAACAAACTGAGTTTGAATCGACGATGTAATCTATTGATCTAGTACCTCATAACTCTAGGGTCTAGATCCCCCACCATAGAGTAGTTAGTCCCAACTACCTAGATTGTAATATTTCCACGCAGTGAGTGGCATGTTCACTTTAACCATGTCATGATGTTTCTGTTTCTTCCTCCAAAACTCGCAATGTTGAGATAGGGATGCTTGATCACCGATGGATCTTTTGTCTATACCTCTCATACCCATACCCATACCCATACCCATACCCATACCCATATGATACCCGTCAACTCAACTCGATTCCATCAATGTATTAACAATGTAAATCCGCTTTAACTTTTCACTCTCTAGGCGTGAATACATTTCTCGTACCTACCACATTCTTCATCTTACCCTCCCGACAATAACACTATTGACTACTTCTCCGAATGGGTCCATGCGTACACAGATTTCTAGACATGTGGTAATAGCCGGGGTCGTTACATCGAAGTCCTATATCCCACATTGATTAGTTTGACCTTTTTCTTTCATTTCTCAGAATAATATCTTGAATGAAGGGAAAAAAAAGAAAAAAGTGAGCGAAACAGGGAAATACATACACAATAAAGCACACTCCTCAAACCCCAAGCACCCCTCATAATCAACAGACTCCCCTTCTTCATCTTCGCCACAATATTCTTCAGAATAATCTCTTTATCCTCCTGGACACCTCCTACCAATGCTGCTAACCAAACAATATCATAACCTGTGAGATCAAGAGTATCTTCTCCAGCCATTGCGGTAATAAATTTCATCCCCGTAGCCGGAAGCCCACCGAGAGAAGTGCATAGATTTTGAGCTTGCTCATTGGCGGTAGAATTACTATCAATATTTACAACGACGGTAGAAGTTGGAGTAGCCATGGGTGATTGTGGGGGTGTAAGGGTTGGGATAGAAGAATCTGGCGAGAGACTGCACGACATGTGATTAGAGCTCGAAAGGGAGGATAAGATACAGAGACTTGTTAGAGGCATGGGACCTGAACCGATAAATGCCACTTTGGTGGATGGGGATAGTGTAAAGCCAGTGGAAGAGATAGCGGCGAGTTCAAAACGGGTTAGTTGTTCGTAATTTTTATCGTAGGGAAAGGTGGAGAGAACGCGGTGGGCTGAGAGATGTTAGTGGTTGGAGAATTGAAATTTCGGGATGGAAAGTAATGATGCAGAAAGAGGGGAAAGTGGTGATGCAAGACTTGCCATCTTCGCAGCTCCCGGCGCTAGAAATAGCTTCTGCCCAGTAAGACTCCATACATGCTTCAGCAGTCGAGCAAATTTCCCGAAGCGCTGGTAAAATGCTAGAAACGCGTGGATCGCTGAGCACCTAATGTCGGTCAGTATACATTCCCATTCAAGTCCTAGTAACGAAACGAACCACTTTTGAAATCGACTCAGGAACGATAGTAATACATGTTCCCACTAGTTCTGAAAACAAAACATTGGTTACTGGGGAGGGACTGAGATCAGTGAGTTGGGATAGAAGTGTGTAAATGGATATGATCTTTTGTATGTAGAACTCGGCTTGTGGATGAGGTATTATTTCGATAATTTCTTCGGGTACTGCAATGATCGAGGTGCTGCTGTATTTTGATGATGTTGGAGTTCTATTTTTCCGATAGACTTCTCTAATGGAGGCTAGCAAGGAAAAGGTGGAAACTCTGTCCATGTTTGTATGTTTGAGATCTGGAGCTGCAAGATAGATGTGAGAGGTTAGAATAAGGTAAGTAACATACGCAATAGGATAACAAGTAGGAAATGAGGGGTCTCGGAAATCTGGGGGCCGATGAGAGGGATAACGGGGTCATGTGGAGGTCCGGGGAAATATCAATAAACCACCCCATATTCTTCATAGTGCTTTGACTGATTTGACTGTTGGGGTGATTGGTAATAGAGTAGCTTTCATATACGCAGCCCTGGATGGAATGAGTGCACATCGGCGGGTGGAAGTATCGAAATGTTGTCGATACCTAGACTATGAATATAGGAATAGGAACGTATGTAGTTGGTTCGAGAAGTAAGTAGCTGTGGGATATTGTAAGATTACCTACATTACCGTAAAGTTCTTTGAGTCGTTGATCTCCTGCCAATATTGTTGCAAGGTCTTGAATTTTATTCTATGTTTTAGAAGAAGACAAAGCAGAATTTGAGCCCTTAAAAACTGTTGTTCGAAGGATCCTTGGGGAAAAGTTGCTTTCACTCTTAAGTAACCATCAAGGTATTTTGCTAGCTCCATTCAGATATTGATCGGGTAAGGCGACCAATGCAAAGCTTTGGATTGACAAAACAATGGCATTAAAACCCACTTGATATAATACTACAATACTACTCGAGTAGAGATGATATGTGAATACTAGTATACCGGTACCACTGAATGGGTCCATTCAAAAGACTTTTGATGTACATGTGGACCTTCCATTTCCAGATATTTGTAGTGAATAAAATAATATATAACGATGTGGATGATCGCCCCCACCCCGGTCCAACCCGCTCCACAGAGCTAAGAAAGATCCCCATGTAACGATTGGATACTGTACTTTGTACAGCAGTTTCGGACGACACCCTTGTATGTTGGGTGTTGGGCAGTGGAGCTACGGAACTACCTTCGTTTTCATCTACTAGGAAGGCACGATGAATGCCAGGACTTGTGAAAAATGTCGTCAGTGCTAGATGTTACATTTGTATCAAAGGCAGGTGCTTCCATGGAGAGTAATTCCAGAGGCGCAGAGTCGTATCGTACTTCTGGAGGCACTCGAAGCAGGAAGAGTCTCTTCAACTGATATCTTGAGTACTCTATATATTAGACTTAGTTTGCATGTCGAGTGATATGAGACGAAAGTACACGAATAGTGGGATGATTTGCAGATATGGATATGCAAAAATGACACTGGATGATGATATTACTGTCGTTGGCGCTTGACCATGCGAAGGGTTTTGACACTTGATACCTAATACCAACGTTTGAAAAGCGAAGACTTCGAAAGGTCGAGCAATCGACTAAATGACTCACACGCCATATGATGGCATCCGTTGTTCTTCTAAACAGGCCAGTAGCATCCGAGACATAGTTTCATGGTTTGCTTGATCTTATTCAGAAACGCATCAAATCTTCAGTTATTTTGTGCAACTAGATTGTGCCTTTTTGGATCAGCATAAAGATTATTGTTATAGTCAATGCTTCTAGACTTGGTTGCCTTTTCCTGATGAGCAATCAAATAAATTAGCGTCAACATTCTGTTGGCGCGAGTATTCTTCACTTGTAAGACCCTCATGTCAAGCGACTTGGCGAGAAAAGCAAAGATCGTAACGAGATTGGCATTTGCCTATTGGTTTCAATGCCTCTCATTCGCTCAATTGCCCCGATGAGCATCTGAGACATCACACAAAGCCACAGGCAATGGAAGCAGTAGTCTGTAGAGCTATGAAATCGTAGCTGCCTGCGTCCATTAGTCTGACTTTTTGTATCGTAAGATGATTGACTAACTGTATGAATGTCTCGAGGTTAGCATACTTTTTGGACGCCATAAAACGAAAGCAAAGAAGAACAATCCAATTCTGGGGAGCGAATATGGGCCCATAATTTGTTGCAGTGGTCGTACCTGATAGACTTTTGCAGATACTGAAGGCAGGTTGATGGATCATGAATGCACTGCGGTGACATTATTTCAGGTGAAAATTCAACAATAGGTCGGCAATTCAGGCAAACAGTACATGAATCGGTTGCTCGACAAACTTGAGATCTTTTGCTAGAGTTGAATTTAGGGCTAAGCTTTGCAAAGCAGAAGACACAACATCGGCGTCATGCTGTTGTGAAGACTTAAGCCAGTCCCATAACAAGGTTGATACAAAGACAATAGAAGATAGAATGCCAACTACTTCACTAAAAGATAGTCTCATATATTATCGCCCATCGCTATAGATATTTCAGGACCAAAAGTGATATTGACCCGAGTTCGAGTATCTTGAGCAAGTAGTAGTAGTAGTGAACAAATTGTAGAGAAAGTACTATATGATGACACTGATTCTCGATTGAGTCAGTGGATCGTCATGCAGATTCCATTTGCTAGTAGTATTAGTTAGATATAGTAGCCATAGAGAGCCAGCCCATAATCTATATAAGAATTGCACCATCAAATGAGCCGTAGACAAACACACAAGAACTTTCTTGTCCTGGATATGATATGATATTGGAGGTCAATCTAATACCCCTTTCTGTGGTGTTGATTTGACTTTCACTTTGACTTTTAGGTTTGTTTACCTACTACTGAGTACCTACTCACCTACTCGAGTATTAGTATGTTATGACATATGTTATGACATAGCTTGATATAACTTGGCACGTGCAGCATAAGGCTAATCACTATGAATGCACTCTAGTCTCTAGTCAGATTTGTCCAATCATAATCCTTGAATCCTCCTTAGTTTTTGCTTATATAAGCGTTCGCAGTCTCCATGATTCCCTCCATCCAAAAAGTCAAGCCTTGTCTATCAAAAAGCATCAAAAAGCGTAGAATTGTCGGAAAGAATTCAATCAGGAGGAAGAACGTCTTTAATTTTTACAACATCACGAAAGATCTTTCATTCGGAATTTTCTATCATTCGGATCCCTCACTTTCTCTCAAGTATTGACTGGATATTTAATTTAACTGTTTCTACAGCTTGTCTGTACTTTGTCAACACTTTTTCGGAGATTTCCAGCTTCATTTATAAAATATTTTTGGGGCGCACACAGGCTCTATTTGTACATAAATACCGATACCTTTTGAGCCTGACCATATACTCCATTGAAATCGGTATTATCTTCTTCCACCGCATGAAGTAAATCCCACAAAAGGCTTGCGCCAATGCGAATTCCGCTGCTGTCGCAGCCATGGCTTCTAATAATGTGGACGTCCTCATTCAGAGGTTGAGCTCTGCCGACACTGGTATGCCCCTCATTCCTGAGACTTTTGTTAAAACCAAATGGTGGCCATGGCATATCCCAGTGAGCCATCTTAAATGATATTGTGCTTACTGGAAAGCGACAGATCTTAAATTCAAGGTCGATGCTGCCGTTCAATTGCGCGATGGCCTCGAGAATTACATCGCCGGCCCCATGTACCCAGCATTCCTCTCTAAGCTTATACCAATCTTTATAAATTGCTTGAAGGGGCCTCCTGTCTTCATCAGCACTTCTTCGGAGCAGGTAGTTAATTCGTCAATAATTTGTGTGGCAGAATGCTTACATGGAATCCTAGAAACTTCGATGTTGTGTCCTGGAGATACTTCACCGTCTACCGACAACCCCCCTAGATTCGTTCGAGCCATATGCAGTCGAGGTGGTAGATCTCTTGATGAGCTTAGTTAGGATAGACAACGAGGAGAATGCCACGCTATGTGTGAAGACGACCATGGATATCATGCGAAACCAGACTAAGGTTTTGCAAGACAGAGTACAACCGTTTCTCGGTCTCATCCAAGAATTATTTGATCAGATGGATTCGGTTGTCCGCGACCAACTCGACAATTCTGCCCCTGGATCTAACCCATCCGGTGTGCCATCTACGCCTGGAAGTTCACAAACATTTCAAAATTCTCCTCGGCCTGGCTCACCTGTGGCTTCTGTCACAGACCTTGGCCCAGATTTACAACAGCAAACACGGAAGCTACTGAAGGGGATGCAATCATTCAAGGTTCTTGCTGAATGTCCCATCATTGTTGTATCGATATTCCAAGTTTATCGCAATTCGGTGCCTCAAAATGTCAAATTATTTGTCCCACTCATCAAAAGCGTACTTTTACTTCAAGCTAAACCACAGGAGCAAGCTCATGCGGAAGCAGCGAAAAAAGGTACAATATTCACAGGTGTTAGTCCGGATATCAAGAATCGAGCAGCCTTTGGTGAATTTATTACTGCACAGGTAAAGACTATGAGTTTTCTAGCTTATCTATTGAGAGCCTATTCGCAACAGCTTACGGATTTCCTTCCCACACTACCGGACATAGTAGTGAGGCTGTTGAAGGACTGCCCTCGCGAAAAGTCTGGAGCTCGAAAAGAGCTACTGGTGGCGATCAGGCATATAATCAACTTCAACTTCAGAAAGATATTCCTCAGAGTGATAGACCAACTTCTTGATGAAAGAACACTAATTGGAGATGGTTTGACCGTGTATGAAAACATGCGACCTCTGGCCTACAGCATGTTAGCCGACCTTATCCATCATGTCCGAGATGCTTTGGAACCTGGCCAGATTCGAAAAACGGTCGAGGTCTATACCAAGAACCTACAGGATAGTTTTCCCGGGACGAGCTTTCAGACGATGAGCGCAAAGTTATTACTCAACATGGCTGAGTGTATTGCAAAAATGCCTAACAAGACAGATGCTCGTCACTATTTGATAATGATACTTAATGCGATTGGGGATAAATTCGCAGGAATGAATCGCCAGTATACTAATGCAGTCAAGCTTTCAAAGCATTATTCCCAACACTCGATCGATACCGCGCCCGACGATTATTTAGCAGATAAGGAAAACCCACCGGATTGGGACGAGATTGACATATTCTCAGCAATGCCTATTAAGACATCGAATCCTCGTGACAGGGGCGCAGATCCAGTGGCCGATAACAAATTCTTGTTCAAAAATCTCATGAATGGTCTGAAGAACACATTCTACCAATTGAAATCCTGCAATGGGGGTTCGCCAATTGATCTCGCGAATGCTCCTCCGCACTGGGCAGAGGTGTCGCATGGCTTTTCTGCGGAAGAAGTTCAGGTTATTATAAAACTATTCCGAGAAGGTGCATACGTATTTCGATATTATGAGATAGAGAAACCTGCGACAGAATCGCAGTATTCATCACCTGTTGAATTCATGGCCAACCATTATATGGTATCTAGCAGCAAGGAGGAAAAGGATCTCCTCGAAACTTTCGCCACAGTTTTCCACTGTATAGACCCGGCCACCTTTCACGAAGTATTTCATGAAGAAATCCCTAAACTCTACGAAATGATATTTGAGCATACAGCTCTTCTCCATGTTCCTCAATTTTTTCTTGCTAGCGAAGCAACTTCGCCTAGCTTTGCCGGAATGCTATTACGATTCCTCATGGATCGCATCGATCAAGTTGGTACGGCCGATGTCAAAAAATCCTCAATTCTTCTTCGACTGTTCAAGCTAGCATTCATGGCCGTGACTCTCTTCTCGAACCAGAATGAGCAGGTTTTGTTGCCACACGTAGTCAAAATTGTGACAAAATCCATCGAACTTTCGACAACCGCCGAGGAACCTTTAAACTACTTCTTACTACTGAGATCTCTTTTCAGAAGTATTGGTGGTGGAAAGTTCGAGCACCTTTACAAGCAAATTCTTCCTCTTTTAGAGATGCTATTAGAGGTCCTCAATAACCTACTTTTAGCCGCGCGCAAACCCGCAGATCGAGACCTTTACGTTGAACTCTGTTTGACAGTACCGGCACGGTTGAGTAACCTTCTTCCTCATCTCAGCTATTTGATGCGGCCTCTCGTATTTGCTCTGCGCGCTGGCTCTGATCTTGTTGGCCAAGGATTGCGCACACTGGAACTATGCGTGGACAATTTGACGGCAGATTACTTGGATCCAATAATGGCACCAGTAATTGATGAACTGATGACTGCACTATTTGACCATCTTCGACCAAATCCATACAGTCATTTTCATGCACATACTACCATGCGTATACTTGGGAAATTGGGAGGCCGCAACAGAAAATTTATGACCGGTGTCCCCAACCTCAGTTTCCAGCAATTTGCGGATGACATCACGACCTTTGACTTGAAGCTAATTGGCTCTAAGAAGGAGAAGCCTTTTCCGGTCGAGATAGGAATTGACCTTGCCATTGGGAAGCTGATGGAAGTTCCGAAGGGTGCTGCTGCCAAGAAATCAGATTCTTATTACAAGAGGCAAGCTCTTGCTATGGTCAAAACCCAGCTCAAGTTGCGATTGGGAGCAGACAACCTTCCAGAGGACTTTCCTCGCCTGGTGAGGCTTCAAGCACAAGATCTTCTGTCAAAGAAAGCAGATGCAGGTTTATCACTATTTGAGACACCTGTCAGGAACCGGTCTGAAGCTAAGAAGATGCAACAAGATATCATGCTGAAGAAACTTTTGAAGGCTTGCATCTTTGCGGTGTCCCTTCCTGAATTCTCATCAGAGGCCACCGGTCTACTGTCTAGCATCTGCAAACATATTACGATTATCGAAGTTGCTAGATCACTGGGCGACATGAGAGTGAGAATGAAGCCATTTGACGTCAACGCAGGAGAAGGCCCTCCTTGTATTGATAGCAAAGTTTTGGGAGACGCTATCGTCGAATCTTTGGCTTCTGATCTGCCTGCTGTGCGTGATGCCGCCAAGTTCGCTGCCCAAGAAGTTTACGATTCGACGGCGACAATTTTTGGGTCGAACCACTTTATTTACAGACTCTCTTTTTTTAGTCATTTGAGTAATGTCTTCTGTCACAGTTGTTATCAGGAAGAGTGGTTCACTAAAACTGGTGGTAGTTTGGGTATCAATCTTATGCTAACCAACTTTGATCTCAGTGATAGCTGGATGCTGGAAAAGCAGGTTGAGTACACTAAAGCTCTTATGCATGTTGTCAAAGACATGCCGCCGGATTTACCAGCGAAGACTCGAATTGCTGCTCAGGATACACTAGAACTTCTGTTGAAACGATGCGCCGGCAAATCCTCTAAAGCTGATCTTCAACACTCGTCACAGCCCGGACAACCATCACGACCATCTAAGCTTCTTCAGCTGTGCAACATTTTCAATGCGGAGGTCTACCACATGAACGGCCATGTTCGCGAAACCGCGAGGAAATCTCTTGAGACTATCGCGAAGGAAATTGGCGTTGAAGTCTACGAGCTTCTTGCCCACCAGCAAGATCGAATCTTGGCTCCAATCTACAACAAACCTCTCAGGGCTTTGCCATTCGCAACTCAGATTGGATACATCGACGCTGTCAATTATTACATGACCCTAAAGAATGACTTCCTTGCGTTTGACGATACCTTGAACAGGCTCCTTATGGAGTGTCTAGCGTTGGCCGATGCACCAGACGAATCGCTGGCGCCAAAACCCTCCGAGTATCGAACGCATGAGCACATCGTCAGTCTCCGAGTCTCCTGCATAAAGACTTTGACGACTGCCATGGGATTCGACGATTTCCAGAAAGGTCCAGCCAATCCGACTCGAACCAGGATTGTCGGTGTATTTTTCAAATGCCTCTATTCCGATTCCAAGTCGACCATTGAAGCGGCTAATAACGCATTGAAAGTGGTCTTGTCTCATTCTACTAAGCTCCCCAAGGATCTCCTTCAGAATGGTCTTCGACCTGTTCTGGCTAATCTTCAAGACCCTAGACGCTTAAGCACCCACGGTCTGGACGGCCTAGCTCGATTGCTTCAGCTTCTGACAACATACTTCAAGGTTGAGATCGGTGCACGTCTGCTGGAACACATCAGAGTGCTTGCAGAACCAAGCTCTCTGCAGCGTATATCCTTTACTCTCGTAGAGCAAAATGAGCAAATGAAGATCATTGCGGCTGTTTTCAACATTTTTCATCTTTTGCCTCCTGCAGCCGAGCAATTCAAAGAGCGGCTTATAGAGGCTGTCTTGGAGTTGGAAGAAAAACTTCGTAGGACACGACATAGTCCATTCCGAGCTCCACTATATAAATACATCAATCGATATCCCAAAGAAGTATGGGCCATGCTTCTCAGCAAGATCGAGGACCAAAAGTATGGGAGGTTCTTGGCACAAGTTTTAGACCATCCAGACAGTATACCTCTACGAGCAGTCGTGGTGCGCAATATAGATTCTTTGATAAAGAGCTGCGGAGATATGGGCGCAGAAAACAGAGAGACTCGGTATGCTGCGGTCATTAACGCCATCAATGTCATGCACTCCATCTGCAGCTTCAAGGGAACTGAACTTTGGATGGACAAAAAGGAAAACTTAATGTGGTTTAGGCTAGTTGGCAAGAATCTCGAGCAACACCTACGCACTAACACCCTTCCACCAAATCTTCGACTGGCGGCCGAGCAAGCAGGACGGCAACTTATGACCATCTTTACAAAGTTCTTGGCATACAGTCCTCGTGATCTGGATTCCTTCTTCAATCTAATTGAGTCCATAACGGCTGAAGATTTTAAGCCCAGCCAGCCAATCTTTGATTTCATCTACAAGTCTATAGTGTGCAGCGAGTCAATTGATTACCGCAAAGCTATCGTCTTGCGAAGTTTGGAGATATACGTTGGCAAGACTGCAACGCAGAAAAACAAGACTTTCCTCCTGCACAATCTTGTCAATCCAATCATAGCTATGGATATTATGCGCAACTTCCAGCAGCCATCATCGGCCAAGAGTTCCCGTCTTATAGACAGGACTATTGTCGAATCGATACATACCAAGGTTTGGAAAGTCGGTTTGCCGGATCCCAGTGATGATCTCACACAACCAGGAATTGATCATACCCGGATGGAACTTTTGCAATTGACCGCCATGCTCGTCAAATACAATCATTCTATCCTTCAAGACGCTAGAAAAGATATCATCAAGTTCGGGTGGGGCTACATCAGGCTCGAGGATGTCATCAATAAGCACGCTGCATATGTCGTTATTGGATACTTTATTGCACATTACGAAACACCCGCCAAAATCGTCCAGCAGGTATATTTTTCCCTTCTGAAAACGAATCAAAATGAAGGACGGGCTCTGGTCACACAGGCACTTGAATTGATAGCGCCGGTTCTACCTAAGCGTTGCAATGCTGTACTTGGAGACCGCAATCCCGTATGGGCTGCCGCTCCACGCCGCATACTTGCGGAGGAAGGCCAAAATGTGCAACAGATGACAAGCATTTTCAATTTCCTTGTGAAACATGCAGATCTCTTTTACGAGTCTCGTGACAAGTTCATCAATCTCATCATCGGCTCTTTGCGCAAAATTGCAGCACCGCCAAATCCATCCAACGAGAGCAAGAAGTTGGCCCTGCATCTGATGTCATTGATATGGCAATGGGAAGAGCGACGCGTTGAAAGGAAGGCAGTTTCTCCAGAGAGGTCTTTATCTGAGTCCCCAAATACAAAGAAAAGAAAGCTCGACACTCTCAACGAGGTTCAGACTTCGACTCCATCGCCATCACTACCTGGGCCTACTCCCGCAAACGATAAACCAGAGTACCAGATTCCTGCTATGATGCGTGCCAAGATGATCAAATATCTCGTTGAATTCATTGCCTCACTTAATGAGCGATATCCCCTGCCATCAGCTCGGAGTCGAGATACAACGACGACTAATGGGCCAATCCAGCCAACACCTTCTGTTGAAATGTGCAAGAAATCCATGTCTTTGCTTTGGAATCTTCTACAACCTCAGTACTGGGGAGATCTTGACATCGATCTTTTCCCGAACGTCACGGAGACAGTCCTAGCAAGTGACAAAACGACGGTGGCTCTCGCGAGCGAACGCTCTGACAAGGACAAGCCGGACGACAAGTTCATTACAAACATGGTCAATACACTGCAAATTGTTCGAATTGTTGTCAATATAAAGCCTGTCAAATGGATTCTCGACAAAATGCCAGAAATTCAACACATCCTAGAGAAAGCACTGAAATCCGATAACCCAGAAATTCAAGATTGCTTACACGCTGGCGATGAGAAAATAGATGATGGACGGAAATTAAATCCATTGCTCACGCGTATCTTAGAGGCAGTTCCTGACGATACTCCAATGGAAGACGCAGATGCAGAGTGCGAACCAGAAGCATCAACTTCTGAGATTATAACTTTCCTATCTGCCATAGCTACGGAGACGCTCTCGGCCAATAATTACATATCTGGTCTCAATATCCTCTGGACTTTGGCGCAGAGGAAAGCATCGGAGATGGACCAGCACATCCCGCAAGTTATGAAAGCTTTGCAGCAAAAATTGGCACGTGAGCATGTAGGCCATTACTCTGCACTCACTGGCCAAGCTACACTCCCTGCTGCGATGCGACCAGGCGAGGTTGAACCTGTTGGCCTTCTGACTCATTACGACCTGGAAATCCAAACTGGGCTCATGCTCAAAGCCATCGACGTGATATCCTTGCGTATGGATACTCTCGGTGATAGTCGTCGCCCATTTCTGAGTGTCCTCGCAACTTTAGTGGAAAAATCTTTGAGTAATCCATTATGTCTAAAGATATTAGATATGGTAGAAACCTGGGTCTTCAAGTCGGAAGGGTCTTGGCCCACCTTGAAGGAGAAGACCGCAGTTTTGCATAAAATGCTGACCTTTGAGCAGCGCACAGATCAGACATTGTTGATGAAGTTCTTGGAGCTCGTTATCCGGATCTATGAAGACCCAAAAATTACGCGCACCGAGCTGACAGTCCGCATGGAGCATGCATTCTTGATCGGCACAAGAGCGCAGGACGTGGATATGCGAAATCGATTTATGGCCATATTTGACAGAAGCCAATCTAAAACGGCAAGTACAAGGCTAAATTATGTCATCATTGGACAGAATTGGGATACTTTAGCAGAATCTTACTGGTTAGCGCAAGCTTCTCAGTTGCTTCTAGGTGCTGTGGATGCGAACCACTCTATCCAGTTGCATTCGGATGACTTCAAGATGATGCCCGCTTCGATGCTTTACGAGAATTATGCCAGAGACAGTCGAACCCCTACTTTACCACAAGATAACAGATTTGACGGCCTCATGGCATCCCACAGACGCTTTGTTGCGGAGCTTGGGGATGTCAAAGTACGAGACATTATTGAACCGCTGAGCCAACTTCAGCACCTCGATCCAAACATGGCCCACGAGATATGGGTAGCTTTGTTCCCAGTGTACTGGATTGCCACTCCAAAAGATGAACGAAGAGAACTGGAACGAGGCATGGTGACTCTACTCACAAAAGAATACCACTCGCGCCAAATCGACAAGCGACCAAATGTGGTACAATCGCTCCTGGAAGGTGCAGCTAAAGCATGGCCCGAATGTAAACTACCACCACACGTAGTCAAACATTTGGCCAAGACCTACGATGCTTGGTACACAGCCCTCGTACAGCTTGAGAACGCTGCTATAAAACCAGAGATCGACAGCGACTTGGTTCGGGAAAGCAATCTTGATGCTCTCGTAGAATTGTATTCAGGACTCCAGGAAGACGATCTTTTCTATGGGACTTGGCGTCGCCGTTGCGCATACGTCGAGACCAATGCCGCACTTTCATATGAACAGAATGGAATGTGGGATAAAGCTCAGACAATGTACGAACATGCTCAAATTAAAGCACGAACTGGGGCGCTTCCTTTCTCACAAGGGGAATACCTGCTGTGGGAAGACCACTGGGTTCTTTGTGCCCAAAAACTTCAACAATGGGAAGTTCTTCAAGATTTTGCGAAGCATGAGAATTTCCAGGATCTGCTTCTCGAGTGCGCCTGGAGGCAAACTGACATTTGGCAAGAGCCTGAGCATCGTGAGCAGCTAGATAACATCATCAAAGGTGTCATGGATGCACCAACACCAAGAAGAACTTTCTTCCAGGGTTTCATGTCTTTGCTCAAGCTCCACAATAAGACCGAAACGCAAGCAGAGTTTAGTAAGGTTTGCGACGAAGCCATCCAACTTTCAATCCGTAAATGGCACCAACTGCCAAAACGCATTACCAACGCTCACATTCCACTACTTCAGAATTTTCAACAGCTTGTGGAACTTCACGATGCTAGTGTCATATGTCAAAGCCTGTCACAGACTACCAATATTAACCTGGATGTCAAATCGGGTGAACTGAAGCTTCTATTGGGAACTTGGCGTGATCGACTACCAAATGTATGGGATGACATTACAGCTTGGCAGGATCTTGTCACATGGAGACAGCATATTTTTGGTCTGATTAACTCAACCTACTTGCAACTCCTTCCTCAGCAACCTCCAACCGCTAACGGTGCGTCCTTTGCCTATAGAGGCTATCATGAAACTGCTTGGATCATCAATAGGTTTGCTCATGTAGCCCGGAAGCACAACCTACCCGAGGTTTGCATTAGTCAACTCAGTCGAATTTACACGTTACCAAACATCGAGATTCAAGAGGCATTTCTGAAGCTTCGAGAACAAGCAAAATGTCACTACCAAAATCCCAACGAATTGAATAATGGTTTAGACGTCATTAACAACACCAATCTGAATTACTTTGGTCCTGGCCAGAAGGCAGAATTTTACACTTTGAAAGGCATGTTCCAGGAAAAGCTCGGTTTAAAGGACGAAGCATCCGAAGCTTATGGAATGGCGTTGTTTTTCGAGATCAAGCTTCCTAAGGCTTGGGCTGAATGGGGCTACTTCAATGATCGCTTGTTTAAAATTAATCAAGGTGACTACACATTTGCCAGGAATGCCTTGAGCTGCTACTTGGAAGCAGCAGGTTTGTTCAAGAATGCCAAGTCTAGAAAACTTCTCACAAGAATTCTCTGGCTGTTGAGTCTCGATGATGCGGAAGGTACACTTTCGACACAGTTCGATGAGTACAAGGGAGAAACGCCGGTCTGGTATTGGATCACATTTATCCCCCAACTCCTTACGGGCCTGGGACACAAGGAGGCAGCTAAAGCACATATGATATTGTCTAAAATTGCAAAATCATATCCTCAAGCCTTGTTCTTTCAGCTCAGAACAAACCGCGAAGACATGCTTGCTATCAAGAAGCAACAGGATGTGAAGGACGCTAAAGCCAGAGCTAAAGCCCAGGCAGCAAACGGTACCTCTCATATCAAAACGGAAAACACCAACGGCGCAAGATCCGAAAGTGCCTCTGCATCACGGCCCGGAACTGCAAGTGTCGAAACTGTTCCTGCAATTAAGACAGAGCCCGGAGAAACGAACGGCAATCACGCCAGCGCAAACGGAGCTCCTGTCAACGGAGTCTCTACTAATGGCTCCGCGAATATTTCGCAAGATGTCGCACCGACTCAGGGACCCCAAAAGAGACCCCCTTGGGAGTACACCGAAGAACTGTTGGGAATTTTAAAGACGGCGTTTCCATTATTGGCACTTTCTATGGAAGCTATGGTTGACTCCATCCAAAAGAACTTCAAATGCCCACCCGATGAGGATGCTTACAGATTGATAGTAGCTTTACTCAATGACGGACTTTCTTATGTTGGTCGTGCGCCGGCATCATATGCCAAGGATATCAAACTTCCGCCAGCAACAGAAGCAAATATCACTCGATTTGCAGAGACTATCCTACCCCCTCACATTAGGACATCATTCGAGCAGGATTTCGTTAAGCATAAGCCCACAATGTTCGAGTACATTCACAAACTTAGGATATGGAGAGACAAATTTGAAGAGAAACTAGATCGTCGCACCCTGACAATGCCGCTCGAAGGTTACAACTCTTATCTTATTGATTTCCGTTTCCAAAAGCTTGACGAGATAGAAATCCCTGGGCAGTATCTTCTCCACAAAGACAAAAACCAGGATTTTGTTCGCATTGAACGATTCATGCCTGACGTAGATCTTGTGCGTGCAATTGGAGTTTGCCATCGTCGGATTAGGATTCGTGGCCATGATGGAAGCCTGCATCCCTTTGCTATACAGCATCCCGCGGCACGACATTGTAGACGAGAAGAACGCATTTTGCAGTTATTCAGACATTTTAATGGTACCTTGAGCAAACGAAAGGAGAGCAGAAGACGTAATCTGAACTTCCATTTACCGTTAATGATTCCTCTTGCACCACATATCAGAATGGTGCAAGACGATCCAACCTACATTTCATTGCAGGGCGTCTATGATGATCATTGCAGGAGACACGGTATCACTAAGGACGCTCCAATTGTGTTCACCATGGAGATGCAGAAACTCTTGTTTGAGGATAAGGTAAGTTCAATGAAGGACAGTACTCGTGAAATGTTTGTGACTAACTTTTCCAAGCAGAATAAGTCTGCTGAACATTCTGCCACTGCCAAATTGGAGACTTTTGCTGCCATTCAAGAACGATACGTTAAGCCAACGGTTGTTCTTGAATATTTCACTAAAACCTACCCTTCATTCTCCGAGTTCTGGTTATTCCGAAGACAGTTTTCTTATCAATATGCAGCTCTCACCTTCATGACGTATATCCTACATATGCACAATCGCTTTCCTCACAAGATTACAGTCTCGCGTGCCACAGGCAATGTTTGGGGATCTGAATTGATGTCGTGCATGGCAGCGGGCAAACCACTTTTCCACAACCCTGAGCCTGTACCATTCCGTCTTACCCCCAACATTCAAACACTTATGGGGCCTTTGGCCACTGAGGGTATTTATAGTTGTGCCATTATGGCCATTGCACGATGCCTCACTGAGTCAGAGTTCGAACTCGAACAACAACTCTGTCTCTTCGTACGCGACGAAATGATATTCTGGCACCAGAGCAGCCATCGACTTTTAGACGATACTCAATTAAGGCAGTCTGTGCAAGGAAATAGCGATATGATAGTTAAGAGGGCATTGAGCATAGCTAAATCGCCAGAAGGTGCGCTACCTGCCAACCAGACGGTGATTGATTTGATTGCCAAGGCAGTCAATCCTATGAACCTTGCGCAATGCGATGCTTTGTGGATGCCATATCTATGATTGTACGGCCTTAAATATTTAGATGTGGATGAGGGGAGGAGGGAGATATCTATGCGTAATTCTTCGGGGAGTTCAGGCGTCATTGGAGGTATGTGTAGGAATAAAAGCTTGCTTGGCTAGTGAGTGGGGAACTCGGAGGCTGGACTGCTAGTGAGTGTGGGGGGAAACGGAGGCTGGATTTATGGCGGAATATTTGTCTCTCGGCGTTCATTTCAGGAGATCCAGGCGAGTCAATATAAAGCCTGTGCGGAATGGCTTCAATTTAGGCCGGCATATATTGATAATTGGGAGTGAGTTTGGTATTGCCAGACAGGAAATGTATTGATAGTATGATGGTAGCTCTCTCTCCCATTCTTAGTCTAATCATCGCTTTTAACAATTAATGTAACGACTCTTACTCGAGTACAGCGAACTACTCTTATGGTCTGTGCAAGGGTGGTGAGGGGGATGGCGAGGGAGATGGTCAGGGGGGCAATAAGGGCAGGCAGGGTATATATTATCTATAATAACTTTTCAGAAAACTTGTGTATAGGATATCTAGGAAAAGTTGGGTTATTAGTCAGTCATCCACAAGATTTCTGAATTTCTAATCTAATTGGATATGTGATCTTCGGATTCGGATCGAAAAAACTGTCTCTGAAGTATCTGAAGATTATATATCTAATTAGAATAGTCTTTCGCATAGATACTTACTTATAGTAGTATAACTATCCAAGTCTCTGCAAGACAAGGAAACCTCAGTATGGCTCTCGCCATCAATATAAGAAACGCTTCATTAGTAGGCCATAAACCTACCTATCCTATCTATCTACTATGAGTATATTCGATGCTGTGTGACATTTATGATCATCTAAACGAAATATGTGTATTCTACGAGTGAGTTTGAGTAATCCATTTGAATGTCTATCTATATATTAGAAATTTAGAATATTACGCAAAATATAGATTCCTTTCCAAAAAAAAATCATTTAAGAATTAGTTGATTGACATACTCGAGTAGATAGGTATATTAATTACATTGCGGGAGAATATCTCAGCTATATCACATGGAATACTCAGTAAACAGTCTTGACTCATGGCCAACGGCTACATAAAGTCACTTACGGAAGGAAGGTAGCTAGCTCTTCTTGATCTTTATATAGCTTTCTTAATCACCAGTACAATCAACCCATTTTCTTTTACCTTTACGCAAAATTGCATACTAAATGTGTGTCACAAGTTGAATTGAGTCATCAAAACTCTCCTCTGTTCGTTCGTTCGTGTGTGTGACTTCTTATCTTTCTTTAGCAGGTATACTGTATATTCAACCAATGCATTCAATATACTACATCCAACTACGAGGAACCACTCCCATAAAGGCATAAAGGTGGTTTACCAACCTCATTCATATCCACGCAAACTATGCAATTAGACCCATTAACCCCAT